TTGACCTTGGAGCTCATCTGGGAGCATATAGAGGTGCAGGGGAGCAGGATGTTTGGGCCAGACCTGTAGCCTGTGGTTATGGTGAGCTGGATCCCTCATGGCCAACCATGATTTGAATCCTGCCTCTAATGGCTTGAGAAACACGCTAGGTATCTGTGCTCACATGCTTAAAATCTCTCCAGAATGGAGAAATGGAGGAGAAGCATTTGTGGAATGACCACGTCCCATTAAAGGGATGCCTTCTCTCTGTCTCTGGTGAGCACACATACCCTTGGGGGGAAAAATAAGATGTCTGTCTGGGCCTCCAGATCCGGTGGTCAGATGATGTGTTTAAGATGTGTTTGGTGTCTAATAGCCTGCCCCGTGTTTCCCCTGAGTATTATTACTTGTTTCTAAAGGGGAAGGGCAGGGAGCTGGTGGGCTCTGGTTATGGTGTTTGCCTCCAAAGAAGAGGTACAACCTGGCTTGTAATGCCCAGTAAAGAGACAATCCTGCGGCCTCACCAGCCAGGGGCTGGTAGCTCCCCTGGCTGGACCTGTGTTCACCTGGCCATGAGAATAGGGGTGAACGTGATGTACTTCTTACTCCTCATTGCCACTGGGAGCACAGTTCCTGGGACTTAAGCTGATCATAGATAGTCACATCAAGAATAGTGATAAAATGAAACTACTAAAAAATTTATTTAGATCAGGGTTGGCAGGTGGCATAGTGGTTAAGGGCGCTGGACTCCCACATGGTCAACTGCCATTTGAGTCTTGGACCTGGCACTTTGCTTTCTCATTTTCCCTCTCTCTATATATATTTCTCTGGTTAAATTAAAAAATAATAATGAATAAAATAATTCTAAAAATAATTAATTTAGATAACCGTTTTTTAAAAAAAATTTTTATTAACATCATTTATTCATTTTAATTTGACCAGAGAGTAAGAGAGAGAGAGAAAGCAAGAAAGCAAGCCACCAGGTCCGGGACTTGAACCGCAGTCTGCCATGTGGGAGTTCAGTGCCCTCAACCACCACACCATCTGCCAGTCCCAATTTAGATCATCTTAACATAAAATAGTAAGGGGGCGGGGACTAGCAGTTAGCATAATGGCTATGTTGCTGGACTCCCACATAGTCGACCACCACGGTTCGTGTCCTGGACCCAGTGGCTTAAACTCACGCCAGGCGCGTGTGTGTGCGTGCCCAAGATCCAGAGAGGAGAATGGAGGAGAAGGGATTGCGGCACGGCCATCCCCCCTGGGGAGTGATTTCTCACTTTCTGTCTCTCTGTCTCTCTCTGTCTTTCTGGTGAGTGCACGTGCCCTATAGCAAAAACCTCTCCAAACAAAAATAGTAAGGGGGAAGGCTGTGCTGGGAACTCCTAAACATTGTGTCTTGGGGGTCTTATGAATTCCCATAGAGAATCAATAAATAAAATGCTCAGTCAATTGTATTTTACATTCTTTTTTTTAAAAAAAAAGAATTATTTATTTATTTTTTTTTTTTTTCAATTTGTCCAGAGAGAGGAAAAGGGAAAGTGAGAAAGCATGCTGTCAGGTCCAGGAGTCAAACCATGGTCAGCCATGTGGGAGTTCAGCCACCCTAACTGCCACACCACCTGCCAGCCCCGTGTATTATTGTTTAAAAAAAAATATTTTACTGGAGTCAGCAGGTGGTGTGGTGGTTAAGGGCACTGAACTCCTACAGGGGTGACCACGGTTCAAGTCTTAGACCTGGCAACTTGCTTTCTCACTTTCTCTCTCGCTCTATCCCTTTCTGGTCAAAATTAAATAAATACATAAAAAATATGGGACCAGCAGTTAGTGAAATGGCTATGTTGCTGTACTCCCATGTAGCCGACCGCGGTTTGAGTCCTGGACCCAGTGGTTTAAACTCATGCCGGGCGAGTGTGTGTGCATGCCCAAGATCCTGAGAAGAGAATGGAGGAGGAGGGATTGCGGTGTGGTCATCCCCCCTGGGGTGTGATTTCTTGCTTTCTGTCTCTCTGTCTCTCTCTCTGTCTTTCTGGCGAGCATACGCGCCCTATAGCAAAAACCTCTCCCCCCTAAAAACTAATTATTATTATTTTATTTCACTTTATTTTTTTGTTTTGTTTTGTTTTTCAATTTGACCAGAAAGAGAGGGGGAAAGAGAAAGCAAGCCACCAGGTCCAGGACTTGAACCATGTTCAGCCATGTGGGTGTCCAGTGCCCTTAACAACCATACTACCTGCTGGCCCCTGCGTTGTGTTATTCTTAAGTTTATTTATTTCATGAGCTAGAGAGACCGAGGCATCCATGATAGGGTCTTGGTACCAAGATCTCCCCCACAGCCTCAACCAGGCCCGGATCCTGGGCACTTCGTGAGTTCAGTGTACTCAGGGAGGTCTCTGGAAGTGAACCTGGAACCTTTCCATGTGAGTCAGCCTCACAGAACATCACACTTTACTGCTGCACTGCTGTCCATTCCCCTGAACCAGACTGTGTTTAGTAAAAGAGGCAGTGGGGACGCAGATGAAAACCCTTTCAGGAGAAAACCTCGAGAAGAAAGTTACATACGATTCTGCTTTCTGCATGTTGTCCTGGCGGCTGTTTCCAGTGTCACCCACTGAGGGAACTGTAGGGGTCAGACCACGTTTTCCCTAAAGCCTAGGCCCAGTCTCCCCTCTTGGTCTAGTGAACACATACAGAGACTTGCCAGGCTTTACCTGAATGGCAGAGCCGGAGGTGATCCCAGATGGCCCAGCCACTTCGATTTTGGATCTGCTGCCAAGGGAAAGCCTCATTTTCTGTGAAGAATTCTGAAAGTCCCTCCCAGGATCTCTTCAGCCCTTGCTACGGAGCATACCTCCAGAGTTCCTTCAGGCAGTGGCTTTCTTGTCTCCAGCCTTGCTCCTTTGAGTCTAAACCTGTACTATAAAAGTTCCCCTTTAGGGGTCAGCAGATGGCATTGTGGTTAGGGTGCTGGAATTCTCACATGGCTGAATGTGGTTCGAGTCCCATACCTGGCAGCTTGCTTCCTCTTTCTCTCTCTGTCTTTCTCTGGCAAACTCATGTGGAAAAAAAAAAATAATGATAAATAAATAAAGTGAATAATTCTTTAAGAAAAGCTCACCTTTAGGCCTTTCCTTGGCTTTGTATCTGTTCTTGGTGCCTTGAACACCCCCTTCCCCACACCCCAGCTTTGGGCTTCTCTGTTAAACTTCTTTCTTTTTTTTTTTTTTAAGAGAGATTTTTGCTATAAGGGGCATGTGCTCACTGAGACAGAGACAGAGAGACAGAAAGCAAGAAATCATTCCCCGGGGGGATGGCCATGCCACAATTCCTTCTCCTCCATTCTCCTCTCAGGATCTTGGGCATGCACACACACACGCCCAGCATGAGTTTAAGCCACTGGTCTGACCCCTACAGTTCCCACAGTGGGTACAGGACTCGTATCAGGCTGGCCATGTGGGAGTCCGGTAATGTAACCATTAGGCCATCTGCTGGTCCCCTTTTTTATTTTTGCCTTAAGGCACATGCGTTTGCCAGAGAGAACAACACAGACACAGAGGGAAATAGAAATCACCCTCCGGGGGGGATGGTCATGCCGCAAAGTCTCCTCTATTCTCCCAGGATCTTGGGCACACACATGTGCTCAAAGTGATTTTCAAGCCACTGGTCTGACCCCTACAGTTCCCACAGTGGGTACAGGACTCGTATCAGGCTGGCCATGTGGGAGTCCAGCACCTTAACCACTATACCATCTGCTGATCCCTGTTAAATTTCATTTACCTGGGGGACAGCAGGTGGTGTGGTTAAGGTCGCAGGACTCCCACATAGCCAACCATGGTTTGCATCCCAGACCTGGTGGCTTGCTTTCTTACCTAACCCCCCTTGCTCTGTTTCCTCTGTGGTCAAATTAAAAAAATAAATAAATAAATAGAGTTAAATAAAATAATTCTTTTTTTTATTTTTTTAGAGTTTTTTGCTGTAGGGCACGTACGCTTGCCAGAAAGAGAGAGACAGAGAGACAGAAAGCAAGACATCACCCCCCAGGGTGGATGGTCACGCTGCAATACCTTCTCCTCCGTTCTCCTCTCGGGATCTTGGGCACGCATGCACACTCGCCCAGCGTGAGTTTAAGCCACTGGGTCCAGGACTCGAACTGTGTTCGGCTACATGGGAGTCCAGTGACATAGCCATTATGCCAACTGCTGGTCCCAATAAAATAATTCTTTAAAAAATTTTTTTTCATTTATCCATCTGCCTCTACACCACTGTTACCTTTCTGAACAGTGGGCACTTGGACTGTTGGCTTATCTTCATTAAAAGGTCTGTCTGAGCTAAAGCTGGAGTTACAACAATTGTTTTCTGAATCACACCTAAACTGACTGGTCCCAGAGGTTCTGTGAGCTTGAAAGCAGCGTCCGTGCCACGGGCCTGTCCTTACACTACAGGGAAGTTGGAAAAGGTGCCACAGGTGTTTCTGTTCTGCCAGTAAGTGTGAGATTCCCAACAGTGTTTCCGTGACCGGGACTGCCTTTCACATCTGCCTTTCCCACTCCCATGTTCCTCCCACACTCCCAGGTCAGTATGGCGGCTCTGACCTGGGCTACCTGGAACACGTGTTGGTGATGGAGGAGATATCCCGAGTGTCCGGATCGGTGGGGCTCAGTTACGGTGCCCACTCCAACCTCTGCCTCAACCAAATTGTACGCAATGGGAATGAGGCCCAGAAGGAGAAGTATCTCCCCAAGGTGAGGAAATGGGAATGAAGAGATCACCAGCCCCAAGACACTCCCCCACGCCACTGGTGGGGCCCGGTCAGACTCACTGCCTTGAACCCAATACAAGGAGTCTTCAAAAGGTTCACAGAAAATATGTATCATATTAAAAATGATGCATGGATTTCAAAAAATTTTGTACCAAAATGAACTCATACTTTAATTCCATTTTTCCCTGAACTTTTTGAAGTGCCCCTGCCAGCGCTGCTTTGAAATACTCAAGTCAAAAATTAAACATTGGGCCAGAACTCCTGAGTTGGACATTTAAAGAGCGCTTTAAGAAATAGAAAACTAAGGGGCCAGCTGGTGGCATGGAGGTTAAGGCACTGGATTCCACATGGCCAATTGCATGGTTTGAGTCCCAGAACCAGCAGGTTGGGAAATATGTCAGCCATGTGTGCATGCATGCCTCAAATTCCAAGAGGAGAATGGTGGAGAAGGGATTATGGCATGGCCATTCCCCCTGGGAGGTGCTCTCTCACTTTTTCTCTCTCCCTCTCTGTGAGCATACACGCCCTATGGCAAACTTAAATGATAAACCAAAAAAAAAAAAAAAAAGACTTAAGACTAACTTTCTTGAGAAGGAATAGGGGAAGGAGTGACCTTTTTCAGCCTTGTAGATGTTGGGTTTCTCTTCTAAGACTTTCCCAGTACCCTGGTTTGCGAGTGGTGTGAAGGGGAGTACTGTGAACAGGAAGAAGCAGGAGCAGTGAGCTGCTGTAGGGCACTCCTGAGGTCATGACCGGGCCTGTTGGGCTTTTCCTTGCAGCTGATCAGCGGGGAGTACATTGGAGCCCTGGCCATGAGTGAGCCCAATGCTGGCTCTGACGTTGTCTCCATGAAGCTAAAAGCTGAAAAGAAAGGTAAGGGGATTCTCGATTTGGCAAAGACTCAGAGGGACAGATCTTATTAGGGGAAGAAGGCAGCAGTGAGGAGTGGTCCTGCTGGATTTCTAGGACTGTTTGTTCCTCAGCTTTTTTCTCAGCAGAAGGTCTGTGGACCAACTGGCTGAGATAGGCCAATACAGCTTGAGCCAATTGTCAACGTCCTGCCTTTAGGAGATCACTACATCCTGAACGGCAATAAGTTCTGGATCACCAACGGCCCCGATGCCGACGTCATTGTTGTCTATGCCAAGACAGATCTGGCTGCTGTGCCGGCCTCTCGGGGCATCACGGCCTTCATTGTGGAGAAGGTGAGTAGGTGGTGCGTGGGTCAGGAAGGCATCTGTCTCCTGACAGTGGTATCAGAAACTACTGGAGCTGAGCTGGAGGCAGAGAGGAGGCTTCGAAGGAGACTGAAGGGAAGGCTGCCCAAAAGTCAAGTCCAAGGGGGAGAGGTTGAATCTGAAGATGGCGCTGCCATCCATGGAACCAGACCATACAAAGAGGCAGAAAGCTGAAGAAGGCCACTGACTTTGATAGTCAGGAGGATGTCCGTGTTGAACTTGATGAGGAAGTGGAGGGAGCCTGAGGAGCAGGTGGGAATACAAATGGAGACTGAAGACCGCAGTGTTTTTTTTTTTTTTAAGACTTATTCTATTTTATTTTATTTATTCATTCATTTATTTTAATTTGACCAGAAAGATACAGAGAGAGAGAAAGTGAGAAAGCAAGCCGCCAAGTCCAGGACTCGAACCGTAGTCAACCATGTGAGAGTGTTAACACCTGCGTGTCCCTGTATTTTTTTTTTTTTTTTAAGAATTGAGAGGGGCTGGCAAGTGGCATGGCAGTTAGGGGCACTGGACTCTCACATGGCCGACTGTGGTTCAAGTCCCAGACCTGGCAGCTTACTTTTTCACTTTCTCTCTCTCTGTATCTTTCTGGTCAAATTAAAAATAAATAAATGGATAAATAAAGTTAAATAAAATAATTCTTTACAAATTTTTAAATATTTCTTTCATTTTAATTTGACCACAAAGAGACAGAGAGAGGGAAAGTGAGACAAATCACCGGGTCTGGGACTTGAACCATGGTCAGCCATGTGGGGGTCCAGCACCTTTACCACCATACCACTTGCTGGCCCCAAGACTACAATCTTAACAGAAGCAAGAGGAAAACAGCATAGGAGTTAGAATTAAAAGTTGGAAATTTGGGTTATCTTTAGAATGCAGGAGACTAAACAAATTTGTTAGTAAAGAAAGTGGAAAATATGGGGCAAGCAGGTGGTATGGTGGTTAAGATGCTGGATCCCACATGGCCAACTGCAATTCGAGTCCTGGACCTGGCAGCTTTAAAATCACGCTGGGCATGTGTGCATGTGTGTTCAAAGTCCTGAGAGGAGGGGCCAGTAGGTGGCGTGGTGGTTGGGGGCACTGGACTCCCACATGGCTGACTATGGTTCTAGTCCCAGACCTGGCAGCTTGCTTTCTCACTTTCCTTCTCTCTCTCTCTCTGACCCTCTCTGGTCAAATTTAAAAAATTAAGTAAGTAAGTAAAATAATTCTTAAAAAAAAAAAAACAACCCCAAAGAGGAGAATGGAAGAGGTATTATAGCACAGCCATCCCTTCTGGGGTTATTTCTCACTCCTTTGCTCTCCAGCAAGCATATATGCCCTATGACAAAAAACTTAAAAAGAGAAGAAAAGAAAATGGAAAACAGAAGGGGGAGAAACCGAGATGTGTAGAAGTGAATGAGAAAAGCACAAAATTGAGCTGAGGCAGAAGAGGTCAGGATGGGTTACAGATGATGGTGGAGGGTCCATCTGCCTGATGATTGTGGATCATCTATGAGAGGGGACCACAGGAGTGAGGGCGTTGGTAGGGATTAATGAGTGAGTACAGTGAAGGTTTGACATACCCACTCCACAGTGTGGGAGAAGCCCCTGATAGGATTAGAGCAAGAGGGGCCTAGCCGTGTGGGAGGCCTCAAGGTCATGTAATACCGTTCTCATCAGCCTGGAGGGGAGGGCAGGCCACACATGTAGCCCGGGTTAGAGCACACAGATGGCTGAATTCATCCTGGGTGGGGATGTCCATTAGGGACAGATAGCAGAAGATCGAGGTGGCAAAAGAATACAACGGGCTGGTGAGAATGTCTTGAAGATGTCTCCTGAGGAAGGACAGCGAAGCCAGGGAAGGTCAGGAAGGCTCGGAGGACTGGGTGAGTCAGTGAGAAAACTCATGAGAGTGCAAGTTGGACCACCCCTTGGCATGGTGGTTAAGGCGATTGGGCCACACGTGGCCAACTGCGCAGTTCAAGTCTTGGACCCGGCAGCTTGGAAAACACACTGGGTGCATGTGTGTACATGCATAAAATCCCAAGAGGAGAATGAAGGAAATAAGATCCCCCTCCTCACTTTCCTTCTCTCTCTCTCTCTTTTAGAGAGAGATTTTTGCTATAGGACGTGTGTACTAGCCGGAGAGACAGAGATACAGAAAGGAAGAAATCACTCCCTGGGGGTATGGCCACTGCTGTAATCCCTTCTCCTCCATTCCCCTCTCTAGATCTTGGGCACGCACTCCCAGTATGAGTTTTAGGCCCCCGGGTCGGGACTACTATGGGAGTCCAGCAACATAACCACTACGCCATCTGCTGGTCCCCTTTCACTCTCTTTCTGTCTCTCTTTGAGCACATGTGCCTTGTAACAAAACAAACAAAAAAAAGCACAAGCTAGCGGCCAGCGAGACTAACGTGTTAGGGCTGGAGGGTCCAGAGGTGGGGCCGTCTCCCATCCAGAGTGGAGGCATGGGAGCAGGATGCTGGTGCTCCATGCGGGTACGGGGGCTTGACCAGATTGTGGGCTCCATCTTCCCAGGGGGCCTTCCCTTTACGAGGCTCTCGTGGCTGGTGTATAATCAGCCACCTTTCCTTCCTTGTAAAGGGCATGCCTGGCTTCAGCACCTCCAAGAAGCTGGACAAGCTGGGGATGAGGGGCTCTAATACCTGTGAGCTAATCTTCGAAGACTGCAAGGTTCCTGGTAAGTGTCTCTGAGGACACAGAACCCTATTCTGACCTCTGCCAAGGCTGATCTTGCTGTTTCGAAGCCAACGAAGCTCCTCTGTTGGCTAGAGGCTCGCTGTTGTCGGCTCCTCAGGGACATGTGGCCAAATGGGGTCTGGGCTGTTGGAGGGCTGTTCTCCTGGCCCCAGTGGCTGCATGCCTGCCTGCTAAGTAAGGGAGGTGTTCCCACCACCCCACCCTGTGCCGGAGGCTCATATTCCAGTAGCTGGGAGAAAGGTAAGAACTCCCCAACCCGCTAGCGTCCTTCAGAATTCCTGTTCGTGTGCCCGTACACCTGCATGAGCTGTTCGTCAAGGACGCTAAAAACCAGCTGAATGAAGTGACGGGAGCCAGACCCCGTGCAGGAGGGCAGCTCGGCCGCAGTGTTTCCTCCCTGGTGTGACACAATGTAGTGTCATGAAGGAGCCCACACCCCCCTTGCGCACCTCACTGGAGTGCTGGGGAGATCCAGGGCATGGATTTATCCTGAGTTATAGGAGCATCTAGGCAGGGGTCTGTCCAGATGCTGCTTTGGCAGTGGACCTGCATTAAAAGCAGGTCTGAGTGAGCACTTTCTGGGCTCGGTCTCCTACCCACACCTCCCTGGCCATCCAGCGTCCAGGCTTACTGGGTACTCATGAGAGGCACTCAGCAGCTTTGTCACCAGCACTAAATGGTCATCTCCTGGACAAAGATGCTTTCCTGGACCACCCTGCAGGGAGGGGACACCGGGCCAGAGCAAGGAGAGAGTAATTGGTTCTTTTATGAGTACAGGTGTAGAAAGGACGAGGGTGGGGTGGGGTGACTTCTAGACCAGTTAGCTTTTCTTCTTTCCCATCCCAGGGAGTCCAGGGAAAGATCTGTCAAGCTGGGACTTTGTGTCTAGCCTTAGGGATGGAGTGGCAGTCCTGGAAGGCCCACTCCATCCTGTTCAGAACCCCAGTTGAAAGCCAAAGGGTGTAACTTTTGTTTTGTTTTTAGTTTTCTATAGGGTGCATGCACTCACCAGATAGAGAGAGAGAGAGAGGGAGAAGGTGTGGAGTCACCCCTCAGGGGGGGTGGCCACGCTACAATCCCTTCTCCTCCAGTCTCCTCTCAGGATTTTGGACACACACGTACACGAGCCTGGCGTAATTTTCAAGCCGCCTAGTCCAGGACTTGGCTCGCAAAGTTAGCCGTATAGGATGCTGCACCTTGACCTCCATGCCATCTGCGGGACCCCTAGAGGACATACTTTAGTGCCTTGCACAAGAGCCATGTTACCGAACCTAGTACCTTTTTTGGGTATATGTAGACTTTTTCTATAGGTCATGTTTTCATTGGAGAGAGAGAAAGTGAGAAACTACCCTCCGGGGAATGGCCACACTGAAATCCCTTCTCCCCCATTCTCCTCTTGAGATCTTGTGTACACATGCCCAGCTTGTTTTTCAAGCCTCCAGGTCCTGGACTCCTAGGAGTTGGCCATGTGGGTTCTAGCACCTTAGTCACCTCATACTGGTCCCAGCTAGTACCTTTTCTGAAAGCGAGGCGGCCATGGACAGCCCTCTCCCTCTGACCAGCTCTTACCCCACAGCTGCCAACATCCTGGGCCATGAGAGTAAGGGCGTCTACGTGCTCATGAGTGGGCTGGACCTGGAGCGGCTGGTGCTGTCTGGCGGACCCCTCGGGTAAGTATGTGGCTTCAGGTTGGTAGGACTGGGCTGTCTCCACCTCCTTGACGTCTAGCGCCATGTGTTCTCATAGACAGCAGCAGCCTGCCCCTTGGTGGGCAGCAGAAGC